TTGAAAACATGGACTTTTGATTTATGTTGAATGTCAAAACATTGTTATACCCAACAATGGTGCCAATTAATTCATTATTGTTAATGGAAAGAATAAGACAAAAAGTAAAGGGATGTGAATATCAAAAAGATATTATAGGTAAAAAGCTTGCAAGAATTCATAGTGTTAGTGAAAGCAACAATATATTGTATGAAAAGACAATAGCTAGAAAAGTAATCAACAAATATACGTATTAGAACAAAGTTTCAACCTATTCGGGCAAGGTTAGCTGCTTCCTGCTTGGCAGGTAAACTTGTTGCACTCATAGTGTACAAACTTGAGAAAGGAAAGTGAAAGTAAGGAAATCGATACTACAAAGGGAAAGTAGCAAAGCTAAAATTATAAATCTAATGTCTGAACTACAAAAGGACTGTGAAGATGTGACAGAGCTTTTAAGAAGTCTTTCTGAGTGTTGAGTTGAATGTCCTTTCTTCTTATTCTCATGTTACCTTTATAGGAGTTTTCTTCCTTGCGAATTAAGCTCTCAAGCTTGATATATTCCTTTTTAGCCATGTGGCTAATGTGATTGTTGGTAGAAGATGAGTCTCCACTTGGTAATCGATCCTTGTTTCCTTCAAATCTATGGGTTTTGCCACTAAAAAGTGCTTTTTCATGCAAAATAACTCTTCCAGTGTGGACTGGTGGATTTGCCACCCAAAACCGCCACGTCAAAAGTACTTTTCATATATTGGGCGGTTACTGTCCAAAATGTGTTAGTTAAAATTAAATGCCCACTAAGAAGTGAGCTTATTTGAGAGAATTGGGTTGTGGTTGGACCCAATGTTCATTTTCGATCCCAATAGTGCCCCCTTTAATCATTATTAAGCCATTACTCTTGAACTTACTTTAGGTAGTTTCTTCCAGATACTTTCAGAATGGTAAATTCGATTTCCTTGAGTATATTTACTTCTAGGGTTTCAGATTGTTCTTAGGGATTTAGACCTCAGTTTTTATAGAGAGAGAGAAAGAGAGTTGCCTTAAAGGCTTTAAGCTTGCATCTTCTCCATTTATGTAACCCTAATTGCCAAACAATCCTCATGCTTTAAACACCCAATCATTTTATATTAGTATCACGCCCCGGACTCAGAGTCGGTCATAAAAACTCGAACCCGAATCCGAAACGTGAGTCAAAAATTAAATAAATAAAAGGAACTTGACACGGGTTGGAAAATAAACTCCTCTTATTAAAATAATTCATGATTCTTAAACAAATCAAGAATTCTTTACAACCTACGGTAAATAAATGAGTAAACTTTCTCTACTCCAATTTAATCTGATCTCATCTTGCGTACCCTCTTGAATGTCTAGTTCGTAAACCTACATAACAATAGAGGGGTGAGCTTCAACAGCTCAGTAGGGACATAACCTTACCATAGTAAATTGACAATATTAAATTAAGTGTCATGAAATCATATAGCCAAATATCAAAACAGCAATTATAACGATATATAAATGCCATGCAACCTCTTCAGTTACCCCCGTTAATTTATAAAATAAAACACGCGAACCTGCACGTCCCATACCATGCATTTTACTCCTGCAAAGGTGGTTCGAATGTAATATTATTGAAACTAACCCCCATATGAGATCCCAAGTTCATAAACCCCTTTTTGCTAGTCATCTTATCTAATTCATTGATCTCCAGCCCAAATCACCCACATCGACAATTCCTGTCGATATCTTATTCTATTGTGCACATCGGGCTCACCTGGAACTGGTTTCACAATGAATAGATCAACTACACAAAAGATCCTTTCCAATTACCCTCATTTCCATACTTCCAATCTGAATACTGAAATTCCCACCACTTCAACATGAATGATGTACAAATAATATCAATTTATCTTCCACATGTATCATAGTATATTCTCAACGAATAACATTTTAGCAATAATTCCATAACCAATAACAAGTAAACACTTAACTGAAGCAATTAGCCAATTAATATTCAACCACATTAATCAACAAAAATGATCAAGAATATTATCACTACACAAAATTTAATAAAATCAATTTCCGTATAGATTTGCCTTATTTCCCTTACCTGGACTCCAAAGCATTGCACCAACTCTCTATTACAAGAGTGCACCACCATTGTGATCAATTCCCTGGTGCAGGCTAACATCCTAAGCAGGAAGATAAATATGAATATTTCAGCACCCTTCTCTCTGATTCTATGTGATTTCTTAATCTCTTCCTTCTATTTGTCTTCTCTCTCTCTCTCTCTCTCTCTCTCTCTCTCTTTTACATATATATAAATATATACACACACAACATATGTATGTGTGTATAGATACACACATACACACACCAATCTCTACGTAATGCATGCATTGCATGCTATCTCTATCTTTCTCTCCTACGAGAGCCCACATGCTGCATACCGCCTCTCCTTCCAAAAACAATGGAGCGAGGCTCCTATTTATAGTAGTAGAAATCAACAATTTAAAAGCATCTCATTGGTGGATGTGGTGGCAAGTAAAGTAAGATTGGTTCGAAGATATCTAATCCTAGTTAATGCAATATAGCTCCTACTACTAGCTATAACTAGTCAGCAACAATAGAGTATTCATGGAGCACTTGGGAGCTCTAAATAATGCCACCTTAACCTTAAAAAATAAATAGATGAGAATGCCACCACCTAGCTAGAGACAACTCCACCATTCTCCCTCCTACTAGCACCTTATGCTAAGCTAAAATGCTGAGTGAACAGCATGTAATCAAACTTCGGTATGATCAATATATACGTAAATAGACTATAAACTTATTGGCTAAGTATAAGTACATTTGAAATACTAGTTATAGTATATCACGTGGAAACCCTAAGTCAAAACTAGAAAATAATAGTATATATTTATTTTTAAAAAACATAGGGGTTCTCACAATTGGAATTGGATCCTCTTTGAGGCAATGCCTCGGGATCCTTCTGGCCAAACAACATGGACCGTTGGATTACGACTACAAACAGAGGGGTCCCACTAAAGTTATAATAATTGTAGCCGTTGGATCAAAATCCAATGTCCAGTGCTGTCCGGTCATGAGGATCTTGAGGTATTGCCGGGTTGCATTATTTTAAGGTTTTACATTTATGTCTTGGTCTGGTTTTAAGCTTTAAATTTGTTTTTAGACCAAGCCTTTGGATTCAAGTTAGATTCTTCCTTCAACTGTTTGACTAGAGAATCTGACTGGTTATTTGAATCCAGATTTCATGTGCATATCATAAAATCATATCATATAATTGATCGTGTTGGTCTCGGTGCCACAAGGTGATGAGCTTAAGAGGAGTTGCCACTTCGTGAAGACCGTAGGAGTCTATCTCGTGTAAGGCAAGGCTACACAAAGGTAGTAAAGCTGCTCCATAGATAGGGATCTAGGAATTGAGCTTGTGTGGTCTTTGTATGAACCTTTGTTTACACTAGTAGATTGGACTCAGAGGAGAGTCCCTGGTTTTTTTAACCCAGAGGTGGGTTTTCCAGCCAAAAATATCGTATGTTCAAGTTATGTTTATTGTGTCACACATCCCACATACACATACATGGTACATATATTTGTTGAACATTTAAATGGTATGTGCTCACTGTCATGCTCACTTGACACATTAATAACTTGCAACGATCTATAGCCTTACTGACTAGGATAGTTTTTTGGGCATTGAAATTGGTATTTGAATCTCAGATTTATCGACTAGCAAATCTTTCTTAGGTGACTAGCGGCCTTGACTAGTCAGTCCAGTGGATTATAATTTTTATATATATGATATTCCACCTGTTACCAATTTCAGAATCCCAATAAAGATTCCTAAGATTTACACAATCATATTTTTAACTAAATTAGGACTGTAATAATTTTAATCTTTTTCATGTCTTAAATTAAATTTGATAAAAATCTGATTCGATCTAATTATTCAAATAGTTACCGAATTCATTAATATGATTATAAATAAATTCAGACATCAATCAACATTGATCTAATCTGATGCGAATAAATATACACACATGAATTATATGTGATTGTTTTAATATAGAGGTATTTTTCGGTTTGCCTCTCGAACTTGTATAGAGTTGCTAATTTTCCTCTCTGAACTTTAATTTTAGCCAATTACCACCTAAACTTTTGTAATTAGCCAATTTCCCCCCGTGAACTTGAACTTTGGCAGGTTACCTCCCTAAAATTTTATAAATAGCCAATTCCCCCTAATGTTAGATTTTAAAAATTTTCATTCAATTTCCATCCATCCAATTTTTCATTCTTTTTACCCTCATACAGTTGTCATGTGTTGTTTGCGTGATCAAAATGGATGGAAAATTAGACGAAACTTTTTAAAATCTAGCGTCAAGAGAAGAATTGGCTAATTATAAGGGGGTAATCGGCTAAAACCAAAGTTCGATAGGGAAATTGACTAATTATAAAAATTCAAGGGATAATCGAACAAAATTAAAGTTCCAAAGAAAAATTATCAGCTTCATACAAATTCGGTAGGCAAATCAACAAATATGCCTTAAATATAAGCACCAATAGAGCAAATGTACGTGCTCAACGGTTTTATTAGTTGCTGATTAGTTAGGACTTTCTTTCAGCCCACAGAGAGTTTAATCCCAAATCTCCCAACAATCTAACCCTCGTCTGCAACCATGATCCTGCTGACAGCGGCACCGACTGTCCAGATTGAAGGCTTAACTAGATAGGTATGACGGGTTTAGTTTAATTTCCAATTTCAATTCATGTCTGTTGGTGTTATAATTTGATTTAAGATTAAGTTTAATTTTCAGTTTCAATTTCCAAAGAATTGCTGTTGGATATATACCCTGATTGGAATTCCTTAATTAAAGTATCTGAATTGATTAGTCTTTTCCAGTAGTTGTGATTTATGTCCTCAGAACCCCATTCAGCTCAGATGGGGGAATTGAGATGCTAATTTGAGGTGGGGGAGAGCGAGAGAGAGAGAGAGAGAGAGAGAGAGAGAGAGAGAGAGAGAGAGAGAGAGAGAGAGAGAGATGGAGATGGTGAGAGACGTGTTTGGCAACCCCATCACAACCGCAACTTTGGAGGGTATGCCAGAGTATAGATCTGAGTCTGGGGAAATAACAAGAATCGAAAGGGCACGCGCGGCAATGGTTATGCAAAAAGCCAGGGGAAAGGACTACGTGAAGGCACGAGCACACGTCGAGCATTTGAAGGACGAATCCGGTACAAAACTCGCCAATCTCGTCCTTATTTACAATGCAACAGGAGACACCGTTAGATGTGTTGGTCAGAAAGATTGGCTTGGCCTCGACGTAGAGTACCCACCACTGATTGGAAATGGCCAGTGGGCTGCGTTTCTGACCGTCAAAAACCCCAGTCGTGGTATTGGCTCTACTTCCGCTGTTGTGTATCGCGGCAAGAACGCCGATGGTACCAACTGCGACTATATGCTGTCTTGGAGCAACCCGGTGGACAGGGTTAAATGGGACAACACGGTAAGTAGTGATTTTATCTGTATGTACATATTTGAAATTGAACGCATTTGATATATCTCATGGCATATTTACTTACAATGAATAAACTTGTAGAGATTGAGTCTTCTCACAATGATTTATCAGGTATGAGCGCGGTTATCTCATGCTCATCCTCATTCTTGTACAATGCGTATGTGTGTGCAGGTCTGTACGCAGGTTCGCAGAACTAACCACTTTGACAATGGAGCAAATTGGAGTGAAATCTACAATCACTTGTATACAACTCGCTCGTCCCAAGAGGATACATGGAATGGATGTACGTCAATCATCACAACTGACAGTGCTGTTTTTGCAGTAGTTGAGGGAACACTCACTTTGGAAGATGTCTGAGTTGATGCATTTGGTGTCATATGTTTCTGCGTTTTGGAAACTTGGAAGGCTAGCTAGGCAGGTGTCTGGCTGCTTACAAGGAATCTGGACCTCGTTGCGGTTGTCTTGTCGCTTGTCAGGAGCAGAGCAGTGGGGGAAATTTGCTGAAGTGAATGCCGATGGTGCTTGGAAGGATGGTTCTGCAGGGTAGTGGCGTTATTATTCGTGATAGCAATGGTTCTTTTCGTTCAAAATTACACTGGTTGAGGCTACCTAATATAAACTTCTTCAATAAGATATTCGTGTATTAATATACTTTGTGAACATTGATTTGAGGTTGCAAGTGAACTTTAGCTTTGTTGGTTAAGAGCATTTGTCCATGCATCGAGCTTCCATGTTCGAAATTCTCTTTTCGTAATTTAGATGAATTTCATGTAATTATCTTATTATTTGCCGAAAAGTATGAAATAATTTGAAGTTAGTGCTTTTTCTTAGAGGAAAAAAAACATCAATTTGAGGCTAGGTCAACGCCTAACTAAGATCGACTAATTGTGTGGATATGCCGATTTTCACTATAAAATCCTAGAAAAACTAAGTAAATTTTCTGACCCCGGAGAAAACCAATAATTGCAAAAGTAGCTCCAGCCTCCCTGCAACAATTACTAATCGGTGCCGGTACGAGCAGCAGCTCCACCCCTCCTCCGTTGGCGGTGACTCTCTCTCTCTCAGGTTCCGTTGATATGAGATGGCTAGGCCCTCCGCGAAGCACACATCCGCTCGGCTGCTGCTGTTGATATGCGTTGGTCTGCTGGGGATTGCTCTGATTGCGGATTTGCTCTGGGCTTCCTCTCCTCGCTTCATCCATATCGACATTGCCGACAATTGGGCTCCTCCTGTCGATATCTCAAAACCCAAAATCATCCCCTCCCCCAAAAAGACTAGCCAAGAAACCCCCCACCTAGGTATTGGTTTTGCTTTCTGGTTGTTGAATTCTTCTTTTTTGTATGTGAATTCTCATCAGGGTTTTGTTCGGATTGTGGTGAAATGCGGGATTTTTTTTTTGTTTGGTTGTTTTGTTGAAATTTTTCGTGCTGGTTTAGGATTTTTCGGGTGAATTTGATCTTCGTGTTGTATCATTTGTGAGGAAGTTTGCCTTTTTAGTTTAATTAGTTGCTCGTTGAAGCCTGTTGGCAGTGGTGCTGCTTGGTTTGTACGAATGTTTTCATCCCGGAATTGTTTAGATTGGTAGTAAGTGTTCTGCAAAGGAATTGGTGCTTTAGTTTCTGGATGTGAGAGTTGGTTGATTATTGAAGCTCGTTGATGGTAATTGTAAACTATGATTTGGATTTCGACGAGTTTATTCACTCCCATTGTTGCGGATTTATGTATGCTTGATGTGAATTGAGACCCGTATTATTCGGTTCATGAGAAATGGAATGCTTTTCGGGTTCCACATGAAAATGTAGGAAAAGCAAGGAGAAGATGTGTGAATTTAATAACAATTCAATAACAATTAAAGTTCTAATCAATCCTTGTTCAGCTCTGAATATTGACCATTGTTTATGTTACCTATAGGGGTGCATCAATTACAAAAACGATACTGCTCCTGGGGGAGTTTCATCAGCAACCTTTGCTGATTTGCCTGGACCATATATTCAACACGAACACCTATTTTACGCACCCAGTTGGAACCATGCACTATTTACGAGGAACCACGCAATTACTTACAAGAAGCTTCAGAGAGCCATACCCAAACATAGAACAAAATCCTATCAACCAAAGGATAAATCTGGACTTGTCCTCTTATATAAGTTTCATCTTGTTATTTCTGATTGTTTCAGGTTGTATATAGTGATGTTTACATGATGGATGACGAAATGAAGTGGAAAGAGTTACCTCCTATGCCTAAGCCAGATTCCCGTTTTGAATTTGCTTGTGCTGTTGTCAACAACTCTATTGTTATTATTGGAGGCACAACTGAGAAGCACCCTGTGACTAAGAAGATAACTTTGTTGGTGAAATATTCCAGTTCAACTTGAATACACTGGTATTTCCGTTCTCCTCATTCTATTATACGATGGACTATATATGCTTAATTGTTTTACACATACACAAATGAACAAAAAACCAATCAACTGTAAGGCAGTCATTGTTGGTATGGAGGAGGGTTATACTACATGTGTTCAACGGTTCAACTACCTCTTCCTTTTTCTTTTAGTTGCTCCACTTTTGCAAATAGGATGGTAGCTTGCATGTAGTAATTGATATAAATGCAGGCGCTATGTTTCTACAAACGAGCTATAGCTGATAACGGATCGTAAGTTTCTTTTGTTATCGAAATCTTGGCAATTTTTCTAATTTGTAGCGATACCTATTAGCCCTGCGCTCCTTATGTCCAAAGGGGTTGGGCTCTAATGTTTGTTTCTACTCTTATTTCTGATTTTCGATAATTGCAGAAGTGGTCAGTTCTTGGGAAACTTCCGTTTCGGGTTAAAACCACGCTAGTTGGTTTCTGGAATGGGTGGCTGTATTTTACGTCCGGACAACGAGACAAAGGACCGGATAATCCCCAACCAAAGGTCATCGGAGAGTTGCGGAGAACGAAATTAAAACTGAGCTCGTGATAGGTTCCTTCATGTTGATTCTTTGGCACAATTGTTTTCTGTCAGTCTAACCATTCGCCGTCTCGTAACCAATCATTCATTTATTAAGTTTTTGGATTAGAATTGTTCTTCCCTGTTGCAGTAAATTGAAAAATCACCTACTTACAGGCAATATTATGGACAGAGACTGTTACTGTATTTCTCATTGTTGTTCCAAGTTATGTAACCTTTTATATTAACTTGAGTTCCACGTGAATGATAGGGAATTTCAGTATGGTGTTGAATCTCTTCATGAGTCACGTAATTGCTAAAGAGACGTTTGACACAACCGGTGACATTCAAGAATCTCTCATTGATGTATTTTCCTATGGTTTTTGTCCGCTGCTGGTTATTATTGTTGATGTTTTGGAAAAACGAAAGGAAAGTGACTTTCGCACCATTTTTAGCTTCATACACCCTTCTAATTAATCATAGCCATTGATTAAGTTTGTTTTATTGAATTCGATGACTAAAAATCGAAAAGAGTGAAAATCAGTTTTTAAAATGAAAATGCACTTAAACACGTAGGGTAAAATTTAGGGAATTGTTATTGGCATTTTAAAAATCTTATTTTACACTCCAAACTTTCTATATTTGGAAAGAAAAGTACACTTGTGAGGAGTGTAGAATGAGATTTTTAGAGTGCTAATGACACTTCCCGAAATTTAATTCAAGTTCTTTCATTAAAATTCTTTTATCATATCGAAAAAGTTTACCGTCAAGATACGTTGCTAAATTATAATTTCGTAACTAAAGTAAAAACGTAAACTATGCCAAACTACACAATTTTTTTAGTAAGTCTCTCACACCACCACACATGGTTATCAATCCTCACATGTAAAATATGTAGGGGACAATTATAACATTAGTGAATTGAAAACATTTAGGTGGACTGTTTCACTGAAAAACACTCCCCTACGTACAAGATACACACCCTTTTAAACGAGAAAACCTCGTTGCAGTCTATTGCATAGCACTACGCGGTAAAAAATGACGCACTGCAACAACACCAAGCAATAACCCACGACATCAGCAAACAGCAGCACACGGTAGCATCAAAAGGCAGTGCACGACAAGGAATTGTGTGACAAAAAAAATATCCAATTGTCCTATAAATAAGGGTCAATTGCTTCCTACTGCTATATGGACAATACACACCAAATAGCAATAGGAAAATCAAAAGAAGGAAGTACATTCCAACCAAAAAAAGGAAGCACATTCCAACCAAAAAAAGGAAGCAAATTCTAAGCAAAAAATGGCAAGGTGATTTCGGCCACAAGGGAAAAAGCATGTTGTTTTTGCAACAAAATCAACAAAGAAATAAGGAAAGGGCTTTAAAATTTCCAAAACATCAAAGGAAAGTACTTTTGCTTGCCAAAATACAAAAGGCAATCCCTCCAAAGCAAGGATAAGCCTTCAAGTTTCCCAAACCAAAAGGAAAAAGTACCTCCTTGACATGGGAAAGAGAAAGGAAAGAAAAAAAAAAAATGAAAATCCTACCCATCCAAGGACAAGCACCAAAGCTTTCCAACACCTTGAAGGAAATCGCCAAAGCTTTCCAACACCTTGAATGAAATCACCCTCATTACCAAAATTGAAGGAGGTTCTTACTTAAGGAAGGAAAAAACATTTTTCCTACACCCACAAGGAAAAAATCCAAAATACACCAAAAGTATTTTTTTCAATTTATGGAAAATCAATACGCACAATAAGTATGTGCCGATTTATCCATTTTCAAAATTTTCTTTCAAGATCAAGCCTCTACGGCCCTTGATGAAGTTTTCATTTCATTCAAGATCAAGCCTTTATGACCCTTGAAGAAATATTTCGTTCAAGAAAGATATCTCTACAGCCTCTGATGTAGCCCAAGAAAATGTCAATGAAAGCCACGATTGCTCAAAGCCCCTCTTATTGTGTTCTACCACAAGCCAAGATTCCAAAGTTGAAAAAAATTAAAGAAGTAGCATTGCCTCCCCATAGAACAACTTTGATATCCTTTTCCCACAAGAACTCAATTTCCAGTGTGTAGTTTGTAATGGTTGATGCATTCCAAAAAGACTTGAGCATCTGCCATGAAGTGGCAATGTGCAACTCCAAATTTCCATGAGTAGTCAAGTGAAAGCTTTTAGGCAACATGAAATTGAAGAGAGTTCCCTTGTTCTGTGCCTCTTAGCATGCATTGTACCATTATACTATAGGGGGGCGTTTGTTGCACTGGACTATCTCGGACTAGATTAGCTTCAAGGACTAAGCTGGACTGGCTTAGACTAGACTAAACTGGATTAACTTAGTGAAGCGTTTGGTGCAGTATTGGACTAAGAAGCTGGATAATAACAAATTATAATATTATATTATTTAATATATAAATTATTAATATTTTATTATGATCTTATCTTTTTCTTCATTTTTTCCTACCATTTCCTCGTTAAATTGGATGAAGTTAGCACCGCCAAAAAATTCATCACCATCCCTGGACCGAGATCTTAGCTTTGAATGCTCGAATCTATCATGGATTTGAAGAAGCCTAAACAGGCCGAGACTTCCAGGCCATTTTCCAGCCACATTCGACCACATTTTGGCCTCGATTCAGGTAAAATCGTAATCTTGTCACTCCCAGCTTCAATTTGGTATATTTTGTATGAAAGTTGGTTGTGAAATGGATTTGAAGGAGAGTCGGAAAGTTAATGATTGATCTAGGTGACTGGAGATGAAGAGGAGTCTGTCG